CCAAAACTTTTGTAAAAAAAAACGAATCTCAGTGAGGCTTCCAAAAATGTCTGTTGCCTACGCCAAGTCTTAGCTTCCGCGAAAATTGCGGTCATCAAAGTCTAACCCGAAAAGTTCGCAGGATTTGTTGATTAATGTCTTTTTCGCCAAGGAGAATCTAGCCTGAACTAAAATTCAAGCGCTACATTTGCATGGTAAGTTTCTCTGAAATAGAACGAATATTTAAAGATATGCCAGTCCCGACTTTCTTAGAGCTTTGTTTGTAAAAGTAATAACAGAATACGGAAACATCCACTTCAGTGCGCGGGAGGACCCAAAAGTTCACCAGACGACCTCGCTATGTCCGCCTGTTTAATAGCATTCTCCTTTAACGGAATGTCGAGTAACTGTTTGTGATGCACTATGCAAAATTGCATCGCATGAAACCCGCCCAAAAAATGTGTTAATTTTTTTAGGCGTGCGTTAAAGTCCGCTTTTTACATTCTCCTTGTTTTCTACCGATAACAATTTATTTACCACCTTTTACATTAGCCCTTACGGTTCTTATACATAATTGAAAAGTTTTCGGCTCACGATACATTTCAACGGGAAACGCCCATTCTAAGGAGAGTGCCAGCAAACCGTGATAAGACTGTCTTTTAAATATCGGAGATAATTAATTACTGTCCTTTTGATACATGACACAGTCATTACATCCGTTCATTTAAACCTAAACCACTTTGTATGCACTGAAATTCATATCGTGAATCAAAGGTAAGTGATGTGATTCCCTTAGCTGGGCTGCTAAAAATCCACGTCGTGACGAAGAACAAGTCACGATTTCAATCCTATGTATAGATTATTTCGAGGTTGCAAATGCGTTTTTGACTTTTCAAGCTCTGAAGAAAAAAATATGAAAATAAATAAATTAAACAGAGAAGTTGACAATTTGCATTGATGCTATTTCATTTCTCTGTCAGCCAAAGGGACCTTTAGAGATACACCTCACCATAGGCTGCCATTAGAGAGTTCCGGGTTTCAAAATATTGAGAAACTTCCCTACAGTGCTTGCATATGTATGATCGCACTTCATTAAATTATTTACGGCCGAAACTAATTGATTCGAATTTTAACATAATCGTGCTCAGCTCTAAGGCATTCATTTGAGATATTTGTATATTAATTTTTTTAAATGAAATTGGAAATTATTTTGTTAATTAATATTTATGAATTGAAATTGTTTTTGATTTCGTCGAAAAAAATGCGAAGAAATTATGGGTATTTTGGGTTAGTACTTTTTTCCACTAAACGCTCGAGTGAAATCTCGAAAAGAAATTATTATTTAAAGCTTATAATACACAAAACGCGTGCAATTGAACGAATTGTAAAATATATTTTCCGAATTTATTCTGATCAAGCAACATTATATATTGTTTTATCTTGGATCAGGAGACTTTAACGCTTGTGAAGAAAAATAGGCCAAAAAATCAACCATTTACCTTTGATGCTTGATGGGTGTTGTGAGGTTCGGAACGGTAAAAGTGAATCATATACGAACTTTTACATGTTTTCAAAAGTTAATTGATGTTATGCCCTGATATTGCACACAAATAAATTAAAAGCTTCTTCACTGGAAAAAGAAGAAAAAATCGTAAAAAATTCGAAAAAAGGAACAAATTCGGATTCGGAAATGTATTCAAAAATAGGGGAGCGCTGCACTTAAGTACTCATTTTGAACGCAAAATCCATGATTTCGCGAAGCAAATTTTTTCATGGTAAAATTTTTGGTGGTTTGACTCATTTTTAATGGCATTATTTTTTTTTCATTGTAAGAGAGTAGATAATTGGGACCGACGAACGAAAGGAATTTCTGTTTAAAACAATATATCCCGATTAAAAATCTCTGGCAACTCCGTCGAGGACACGCCGTGAAATACTACAAAGTTTTGAGATAGACTACAAGTGCTTTATTGACTCAAGAAAATGTTCGGATCATCAAATTTTACAGGCAATAAAAAATCACCGGGAGGCGCAAGGTCATTTCATCCATCAAACACAGAGGAAAATTAGCAATAATTATACCCACAGAAATAGATGTTAATGAGAGGCTGAAGTTTTCAAATTTTAAGGGGGAACATATTTGAAAATCGTTTAACGCGATAAAAAAAGTAATAAAAATGTGTCAGGAAAAAATTTCGTTCATATATTTAAAACAGCAGTCAAAATATTTCTGCAAGCAGGAGAAATTACGATGATATCCTCCTTCAAAAACTCGATGAGTTTGATCTGACCGAGCATACCAGCAAGATGTTAATGATGTTGCTTTCTTAATTTAATCCAAAATTCTAGGAGTTAAGTAATCAGGATGGGTCAAAGGGTTCAAAGCTGACCCCCGAGCAGAGGCAATTTTCCAAGTTAGCAACAAAAGGTTTCATCTGTTTAAATGTGGGTAAAATAATCGATAATTTGTCGCAGTAAGCTGCCTCGATTAGAATCGATCATTTGCGAAGGAACATTAACTGGAGGAAAAACTGAGCTGCCAGATTGTGAGAGTTACCAACTCAAAGTCCCGTCCCGCAGTATGCACTCTTCTCTAGAGCTTTAATTCAAAGTTTTGTCAAAAATCTACCTTGCATCCTGCTAGCCTGTTAGGTAGCTGCCTTTCGCACAGCAAGAAGCGGGTCGAATTTGTGCCGGCAAGTTCAAAACACATTGAGCATTGAGCAGTGTATTTCCGTAATTTACTCTAAAAACTAGGGCTCTCAAATGCCTGAACACGCCTGTAGAGTGTCAAGAAACCGCATTTATGAGACTACTCAAAGGTCAAATTAAAATCAATACCATTAAGCCCGGGGTCGAAAAAGCGCAAATTGGAACATATTTGAGGGTGTGAAAACTTGACCTTTACTGAAATTGCGAAGTCCATATGAATTTGATAGACCGAATATTGTCTTTGTTTATCAAAATGTCCGTATTTAACCCTAAAAATACACATTCTGTGCAAAATATGAGTGATTCATCATGCTAAAGGCCCTAATTTGCTCACAGGAGAAATGTTTAAATTATATTGATTATTCGAACGAACAGTTTTACACGGTTCGTCATTTCGAACTTGAATGACTAAAGTTCAAACATGCGGTGTTTGTGATTGCTTATGATCGTTTTGTGCTAGTTTTTTTATTCTTTAATTGAGACTGCTACTCTACCATATCGAATAGAACTTAGACAAGTAAAGGAAGTTATTTCGTACGCATGCACTTTGTCTCTTTTAGCTTTTTGCACATGGGTTCTAATTTGAATGTCGCAATAAACAAAAACAAAAATGAAATTTCAGTCCATGTTGAGACTTCTTCAAGGGTAGAATTGATTTTTTTTCTATTTATGCACTCTTTACCATTAAGATTGACATTTCCCCGAGATTGATGAGTTAAAAATTAGGAATAACCGAAAGCAGAGTCACCGCGCACACATTACGGTGCGTTTTCGTAAAATGCAGGCAGAGCGCACCGCAACTGGACTAGCACACTGATCCAGTTGCATGGAAGATACATTAAATCGAATGCGCAATTGTCAACGAAAATGAAAGGAGTATGACTTGAATTTTCGCCAGCTCCACCTTCGGAAATCGCAAAGTCATTGCTGTTCCAGTTTCCACTTTCCCTTTCTTTGTCTAGACTCTTCTTTCCTCTGATCTGTTGAATTAGCAGAACTCCCACATTTGTACTTTTTTAAGTCCATTTGACGACTCCTCCTCAGGTCTTCAAGTTTTCTTGAAATCTGCCCCTCTGCATGAATTTCCTCAACTTCTTTTGGCTTTTCTTGCCTTGCTGTTCATTTTGCTTGTTACCGAAAAACAATTTTAAGGCTTGCATTGGGTGCTGAATGAAAAATTCACTTAATTTTGTCTTATTACTTGTTAACGCTACCTTTGAAAAAGATGATCACCGAAAAAACTCGTAGAAGTATTCCTTAGAAGTTAGAACTTATAGAAGTCAGAAGAATTCGGAAAAATACTTTTAAAAAATATGAAAAAATCCGTTATTAGGGTCCGTTTCCATAATCATGCTTTTTCGGATGAGTTAACGCACGCTGTAGTAAAGGTAACTCAGATCATGGTCAAAGTTAACCATAATCTCAATCATATTTAAACCTCAAAAATTACCGTAATTTGACAGATGTTACTCAATGAGAAAAAAACGGAATAATCCCGACAAATTAGTCCTCTTGATAGTTTCTAGTCGATAGCAGAAACAGAACTTGTTCTCTTTAGGAAAACTTTATCGTGCCGAATAAAACTTCAGGCGTGACAAAAAAGTTTCATTTTCACAACGTTATGTTCCTGATCATTACAATTCTTTTCTTTTGAACAAAAAAAATTTTGCTGTCGCAACGAACATTTTACTTGCCGTGAAAAGTCGTTCTCTAGACACAACATTTTTTTTTTCCCCTCTGCAGTCCAACGAAAAACTTTCAAGGAAACGGTTTCCCCTCCTTCACTGAAAAACAAATCTCCGTGTATTTACTAAGAAAAGGGTAAAATTACCAAGAATTCACGGTATTTTTCGATCCCAGTTTTTCTTGGTAAAATTATTTAACTTTCTCGGTAATTTACTGGACCTTGGTAAAAACGACAATATTTTTTATCGACTGTGGTAGAATTACCGACATAAAATGGCAAAAGTTACCGGGAATTGATTACCAATAAAAGTGGTATTCTTACCTGAAAAGAACAGTAAAAATACCGGTTTTTAGGTAAGCTTACCAGTCTGTCTTGGTAAAATTACCAATAATTGGTAAAAAAAGTGTGATGGTAAAGGCACCAACGGACCTTAGTAAAAACGCCGATAATTTTTTTTCAGTATTGTACTGTTCTAATGCGCCTTGTCCGCCTATTTACTAGAGACTTTAGTTATTTGAGTCGAAAAACTTTCGGTGTTCGATAAAGACCGAAGTTCTGTCCCTGCAATCTATTTTTTTTTTCCGTGCAGGTTCATAAATTTTGGCAAGATGAAGATGCGCACCTTTGAAATAGATGAAAATCCGTTGATGAACGACAGGAGCGACAGGAGGAGAGTCACACACACAAGCACAGGTATCACGTATATACAAAAGCGCGGGAAGTCGGTGGTCGTCGAAAGATGAGCGGGCACTCGCGGAGACTGAGAGACGGGGGAACACTGACGGCAAAGTTCACTTTCGCAGACGCCGCGGCGACGATGCGTCGCGACGCCGCCACCCCGCGCCGCGGCGCCCCGTGCCCCCGGGGCTGATTTCAAGTCTGATTGGCCGACTCACGTTTCAGACGCTGCCGGTGGCGTTTTCTGAATGGCAAACTTAGGGGAGGTGGAATGGACCGATTGACAGGGTAAAAAGATCTTAAGAACGCGTGTAAGCCTTATTGGACTCCGAACGTAAAAGGGGCCTTGGAGGACAAATATTGGAGGCGCATAAGTGCAGTTTTTGGAAAATTGAGATATTAATGATTTCAAGTCAAATTATTCTTAATGCATATTCTGTGCAAAATTCGCTCCCGAATTTCAATTTTTAAGCATCAAAAAGTCAGTTTGAACTTTCTTTCCGCCATGAGGCTCCATGTAATTTCGAAACTTCGAACACGTATTTCTCGAAATAGCAAAACCTGCACTTATGCGCCTTGTCCTCCAAGCCCCTCGTAAGAGAGATGGATAGAAATAAGATATCGGAAGACATTCGTGTGAGTGGAATGGAAGAAGAAAGGGAATAAATCGGATTTTTCACAAGAAAGCGCGTACTCAGAGATCCAAAGGGTTAAAAAAAGTAGGAAATCGCAACTAGGCCTAGCTGAGTTAGATGAATCCTGGCAAATTTTTTTCGCATCAACGTGTATCAGTAAGTTTGGCAATGTGTGTTCGGCTATCAGCGAAATGGTGCTGAAGGTAATTGGCCTAAATTAGGTGACATTCGGATGTTACACTGGACGTATTAATACTCAAAGGAACCGCGGGCAAATGGAAATAACCCAAAGAAACTACGGATCGTGTAAATCCTGAGCACGTGGTTCCTTTTGATGTAGCGCAGTTGTAAACACAGTTCCTTATGACTTCATTATTTTGTACATAGTTTTGTCCAGTGCATTTACGTTGAATGCATCAAAAAAATCTATTAAACCTATATAGCAATGGTACTCGTGTGTCAGATTTAAATTGAGGGGCTTTGAGGATTAGGCGCACAAGTGCATCTTTTGAAAAAAAAACGAGATCTTTATGAACTCACTAGTTTGAGAGTATTTGTAACTGAATGCCAACTTTAAAGCATCAAAAAGTGAGTTTAAACTTCCTCTCCACCACAAGGCTACATGTAATTTTGAAACTTCAAACACGCATTCCTTACAATAGCAAAAATCGCATGCAGTTATGCGCCTTGTCCTTCAAAGCTCATAATTATAAGAGACCCCATTTACTACCTTGCATCAATTGCCACCAAATCTGTGACACCTCTCACGAATGATGGTTGTTCCACACACAAGTGTCGCTGCCCAGGGCCGGATTTACCTATTTGCCGCCCATGGGCCGCCTGTATTTTTCCGCCCCGTTCTCATTCGTTTTGAAACATCAATAAAAACCATCTAATGAACGTGCCAGCGGGGGAAGGGTGCATAACACGCGTTTACTCGTGTAGAACACATTTTTTGGGAAAGCCCTGGCAACACTACTAGCTAAAGTTCACGGAACTTGGCGCGAAAGTTAAGTTTCGTAAACCTATCTCTTTGTGGACAAGGCCTTCCATTCATAAGAAATGAACGAAAAAATTATGAAAGAACAAACATAAATGTGGATTAATGATTTTAACTTCCGCCGCCGCGCTGCGCAGACCGCACCGTGTTTGGCGCAATGCTTGAAGTATTCACGCAGTCTTGTAGGTGCTATGCGTTTCACGCTGATCGCACTGTGTCTGCTGCCGCAATGCGTGAGATATTCATGCATTCTTGTAGGCGCTATCCGTTTCACGCTGACCGCAATGGCTGCACAGCGTTTGATGCAATGCGTGCAGTATTCGTGCAGTCTTGTAGGCGCTAATATTCGTTAAATGCCGATCGCCATGTCGAGGGTTTCTCCTTTCCATCTTATGTCCTAGTCATTATTTCTCTCTAAGTCGCGCCGCGCCCTTCCAGGCCAAATTGCGTGTTTGGTTTCTCTCTTAACTCGACTATAATTGAAGGTGCTGTCTCCTGTATAACTGAAAGACGACAAAATTAGAAATTACTACACTCTCAGGAAATGAGAGATTTTGTCGCCTTTTCTCGTCAGTAATTTTTTTTCTAAATCCGATTTTTTTTACCTAAATTTAAAAAAATTGCAAAATTTGCCGCCATGGGCCGCGGCCCTTGTGGCCACCCCCTTAATCCGGCCCTGTCGCTGCCTTCAAAGAATCGCCAGAGCGCTGGATGTGAGAGGTATGATCAGCTCGATCGTTAAAATTTATGTCGGCTGGAAAATGATCAAAAATCGATACATTGCACGGCGCAGATAGGGCTGTCTTCAGCTGTCTTGTCTTATCTTGCCGACAAAGCCAGTTAAAGTTTCAACAATCAGGCTGCTGATCAATGTGATCCGTTAATCAGTTTAACGCTGCAGTCGTGCTTTCATCCAGATGCAGTGAAGCTACCTTGCAGGCGAATGATTCCCTTTATGGCTCGTCTGAAATACCTACCGTCTACATTGTATGATGGCGCGAACTGGCGAGGAGAAACATTCTCGCCGAACACCTTCTATCGAGCGACGTTTCCGCAAGTTTTGCGACACTTAAACTGTGCCAGACTTTAAACTCGTGAGGTGAAAGAAATGCCAACACGCGTTCAGAATAAGGCAATCCTGAGCCGACGCGACATTTGCCACATGGAGGGTAAAAAAAAGGCTGTTGCCCCTGAGCAAGTCGACGTTGAAACTACCAAACCACGTATCACGTTTGCGGTGTTTCAAAATTTGCGCTCTCTTATTATCTTTTTAAAGGAGAGCAAATACAAGTCATTCATTGAGGTTTTTTTTTAGAATTTGCCTGGTTTTGAGAAAAAAATTACGGAAGTTTTTAAGAGTGAAAGTTCAGTAGTTCTTAGTTGACAGGTCGCAAACTGAGATACGTGGTTTGGTATACCGTCGAAGTGTGACTTGATGTTATCGAATAAAACCGACTCACCAATTTTCAAGATTCATATGGGACATTAATAGTCTAATGATATGTGTGCTTTCACAAAGTTTTTAGCGATTTTTCTTTTTTTAAATTTTTGATCGATATACATATGCCGATGACTAAAGTACGAGACCAAGCCACGTATGTCCGTTTGCCACGATGCAGATTTCCATTCATACTTTATTTTTTCCTGGGAATTTTAGTCATCGTAATTTTATGAAAACTTCCTCGATGTATCTTCTCAGTAAGTAGAATATTCCGTATAAATTTCAAGCTATAAAGATGACTTTCTCTTCTTCGAGAAAATAATCTAGGAGCGGGTATTTTGAAACACCGCAAAGGAGATGCATAGTGTCGCTCGCTAGCCATCGATATTTTAAAATTATCTCTCCGGTGTATGCCTGTTTAAAATTCAAGTTTTTTTTTTTATCTGGTTTCATATCTACTTTCCAGTCAAAAACAATTTAGTCATACTACTTCATCCCTCTGATACAAACGAAGTTCTATATTGTTGTGCCTACTCCAAAACATAAATTGATGCTTCTTCACTCTTTTACATTCATTTCCGAACACTTTTACCACACCGCAAGAATTTTTAAGGTGGGAGCGAGTTTGCAGTGATGTTCCCGATTGAAAGAATCTGATATTAAGCAACACAACACGTGTTTTTACATAAAAAAACACTCATTCAAAAGACAGTGGTAACACTGACTCATAAGCTATATTTCGTCTGAAAAAACTTCAAGTTCAATTATACTTGCAAATTTAGAGAATGACATGATTTTTTTCATTTTCAAGTCTGATTTTGTTATAGGATTTGGCTGATTTAGACGCTTGGGAGCTGGAAGGGCTACCATCTCATTTCGAGGACTGTTCTTATGCTATCAAACTTCTCTCCTTTCCTTCTTCTCCATTTTCTTTTTCCTTTTTTTTCTCGAGAAGATTAAACCTGGGCCCAGCAGCAACGAACAATTGACCTAATGCGTCAGGATGAAGCAGTGTTTGTATAAATCATCGCACAATGGTAACTACCAACAGCCATAATCAAGCTCTAAATGAAAAGAAAAAACGTTTTCTCATCGAAAGTTATTACATTTACAAAAATTGAGAGGATGCACTGATACCGGAGTAAAGAGGAGTGATTCACTGAATGATCGGGACTATGAAGTCCCAAAATTTAAACCTAAATCAGAATTGTGACGACTTTATGTTTCAGTTCAAAAAACATTATTTCAAGAAAAAGCTACTTAAAATTCTAATCTGCCATTTCTAGGGTTACGAAAATTTACCGATAAAAATGTAACTCTGCGCCCCTAATTGGCAAATAAATAAGCGATAATGCACGCTACTTTCCTCAAGATCCTACAAAGAGAGTTAGGTCCGAATCTTAAAAACTGATTTCCTGGACCGAGCTCAAAAATAATAATTGCTCTATCGAGAAGTTGACCAAATGGACTGCATTTTGCAATTTGGAACTATAAATTCTAGCTCTTCTGGAAAAACATTTATGTGCATATGGAAACTAATGGCACATACGTTGTTTTTAAACCGGGCCAGAATTTATAGTTCCAAATTGCAAAATAGTCCAAATACTCATTCGCCCGCTTGAGCGATCTCATATCTTGATGCGGCATGCGTCATCGAACGACAAGAATTCACTCACAGATAGCTTTTTATAACCATGTAAGTTTATTTTCTCCGTGTCCGAAAAATTTGCGAGAAAACTTTTGCGGCTCAAGGATAGATACAAAGATTTTGCGCGAAACAAAGTTAGATTGTATCTTGCATCCGAGTTAAAATCAGAGATTTGCGTGCAAATTCTCAATTGTAGAGACAATAGACTAATCGGTGATTCGTTGAAAGAAAACCCTTTATAGGAATTTTTCAGTCTGAATTCATAGAGAGGGCCTCCCGTAAATTGAAATTTTGGTTTAGTTTTACACTGAAAAAAAATTCTCGGCGTTTTCACCAAGGTCCGTTGGTACCTTTACCATCTCAC